GGGGGGGGGGGGGGGGTCGGCGGCTTGAGGATGTCGCCACTTCCAGCACTTCGAGGGTGTCGGGTTCGATTTTTTGGCTCAGGGTCTTCGGGGCTCAGAGACTTCCTAGGTTCCCCAGTAGCCCCTTAATGATAAGGGTACCCTTTTTCCTTACTATTTGGTTTTAATAAGGGAACCCAATAAGAAAAAGGGCAAAAGGGTACTACTGGGGAACCTAAACCCTAAACCCTAAACCCTAAACCCTAAACCCTTAGCTTCAGACTGAGAGTCTGTGGGCTTCGGATTTTTGGACGTCTTGAAGTCAGATTTTCTTGGTCAGATTGTGACTTTGGGGGTGTACCAAACTGCATAATGCTATACTGTACGGACAAGTGGTACGAATCACTCAAACCCAGCGTATTGCAAGCTAAACGACCAGCATGAGATGATCTGTATCAAAGAGGAATCCGATTTAAACATGATGTTGGGGCCATCTTTCCAAACCCGCAACTTAACTACTGACTACTTGTCCACATACGAAGCCAACGCCGCTTTTTCGCCTCACACACTGCTCATGTGAGTCGGAGATGTGTCCTCTTCTTCCTGCTCCTCCTGCGGTCAAGCACTGCACGGGACATCCCATCAAGCCACCCCTGAAGCCCCCTGTACCCCAAAGGCTTCAAACAGAGCCCGTCTAGACACATCGGTTGACCCTATGCCGAGGGATCCGACCACCGTGTAGGCTTACAGCGTGGCAGGGAGACCCTTGGCGGGATAAGCAACCTTTTTCGGACTCAGTTACACCAAAATCTTTAGCTTCGGGTCAGGGCAGGGCAAAAATACCACCCGCCCAAGTTTCTCCTCGCAGGAAAAAGAGGCCCCAATATCAACGAGAAATAGAAGTGTCCATATGACTGACACATGACAAGGAAATCCGCGTTGCAACCCGAACCGACAAACCCCAAATTAACCTCCCCCGAATTTAAGGTCGCAGGCCGAAAACTTCTAAACCCTCGCCCTCTCAACTAAAAATCAGCCCTCTCAACTCAAATCCGTAAAAGACGCTAGCCCCAAGCTCCTGAACCCAAATTGTATTGCCCCGAAACATTTTGGCCGACACCCGCGCCCAGAACCCAACTCCGGATTTAGGGTTTAGGGTTAACTTAACCCTACATTCCTAGCTCTGAACTCCTGCATGAAAGACCAAATCTGATCTGCAAACCCGATGCCGTGAACCCAAAACCACAACCCGTAAATCCCGAAGCGGATGCACCGAAACGGAAACCCCAAAACCTGAAATGCCTAAACCGATACCCTACATCTTCAACCCTAAACCCGTAAGTCCTCAGCCCATACCCTGCACCCTAAATCTGAAATCGCTGAACCTTTTCATCACTAAACCCCTAAACCCTAAATCCTATTATAAACCCTACAAACCCTGAACCCTATTATAGACCCTAAACCTTACACCCTAATATAAACCCTAAACCGAACACTTCGAATGCGGCGCCTCCGCGAACTCGGAGCCGGCGAAACCGGCGACTTCCGACTCGGTCGGGAGGATGCCTTCGCAATCCCAAAGGCTCCATGTACTTTTATAGTAGATACTTAGGCCTTAAAGGGGTCCCTATATAGGTACTTTAAGGCCTGAGTATCTACTATAAAGGAACATGATGCCTCCGCCATGGAAAGCTTCGGGGTTTGGGGTTTCTGGTTTAGGGTTTAGGGCTTAGGGATTGGGGTTTAGGGTTTTAGGGTTTTGGGTTTAGGGGTTTGGGGTTTAGGGCTTTATTTCGGATCTTGGGTCAGGGGCCCGAAGACCTTGAATGTAGGATACAATTCTTATAGGGTTTCGTGAAGGTTTTACTGTGCTTCTGTGTAGGGCGTACGTATATATAGAGGCCTAAAGTACTTGATAGTGCAAGCAAGGACAACAAGTGCACATGATTCGGGTTTAGGGGTTTAGAGTGTAGCGTCACAAGCTTATGGGGCTTAGGGTTTAAGAGTTCGGCTGGAGGGGTCATGATCAGGGCTTAGCCATATATCTGTACTTCACCAAAACAGCGAGAGGTTGCTTCATTTGTGTGGGTCAAACCTATCGAACTGTGTTCTGCAGTGAGGCAAAGACAAGAAAGACCCTGGCACTGGTGTGGGGAAATAAGGGACCCTAGACATCCTGGCTGGTAAGGTGTATCTTCAAGACAAGGGACCCCCTCAAAAGGGCTAAGGTTTCAGAAACCCTGAACCCTAAACCCTGAACCCCTGGAGCGCAGAAGCTCTGCGTGCCTTCATCCTCCTCCTGGCCACGGAGAGCGATGTCACTGAGGGTTAGGGGAGTGCCACCCCCTCCGGTCCCTGAAACTCTCAGGGTTTAGCTATTTATAGGGCTTCTTATAGGGCATAGGGCTTTGGACCCAGGGGCTGCAGACAATTGCGAGTTCCGAAAACTGCGAATGGAAACAGTCAACTTTCTATATACACAGCTACGGCTTAGTTTTCTGCTTTTTGTTTTAGGGCCTTGTTCGTCGCCTGCACTCCGAAGCCCTAACCCTAAACCCTAAACCCTAAACCCAGCCCTGGACGGCTTCGGGATTAGAGTCCCGGGTTCGGGGGTCGAGGGCGTCGATCGAGTTCTTGGGGTCCAGGGCCTTGCTTCTGAGGCCGTGTTTAGGGAGTGCTCCCGTCGATTCCGCTGATGGCAAGAAGCTTGCAATGTCCGTGATACCCATCACTCCCCTAGTTTAGGGTATCTAAAGTACTGCACGATCTCGGCCATCAACAGCCCAATAATCATCGAAAAGCTCATATCTTGCAGTCCGAAACGTCCCGACTCCTAACTCCGAGATTGCGTGATATCGATCCTTGCATCATGATATCCTGCCGCTGGCATTACCATCAAATACGGCATGGATGATGCTGATGTGGCCTATGGTCGTATGCCATACTATACTCTGCGATCTCGGCCAATTCCCTCGAGCCTGACACCTTCGACTCCGGAAGCCAGAATCTTGAAAGCCCTTACACAGTCTTGCGCCCGAGCCCTATCAATAGGGTTTAGGGTTTAGGGCCCGAGCCCTATCAAGCTCCTTGACGCAAGATCCTTCAACCCTAGCAGACCTCTTCTACCTAGAATCTCCATTGCAGCTCCTTTTTCGGGTTACTTACCTTCTAGGATGCCAACTAGAACATTGGCTAAACCAACAACAGGAACTAGAATGAAGACTAGAGAAACAGCAGAAACAGCCCTATAACAAAAACGGGTTAAACACGAAGAAAGGAAATACATTGGTGACTATAGCAGCACACCTGGCCCTAAACCCACACATGCTTTTTATTCTAAGGGCTTTAGGAGGGACCCTTAATAGACCCTCGTAGGTTATTGGGGTTAATATGGAGACTACCTGGCTATATAAGGGATATATAAGGATTATACAATGGTTATTTAAGGTAATGGGATTAAGGGTCTAAATCCTAAACCCTAAACCCCTAAACCCTAAACCCTATTAGGGGTCCCTCCTAAAGTCCTTAGATTTATGGCTCCAATTCGATGCCTCGCCGCCTTGGGCCTTCTGCACAAACCTCGCACGAAGGCAGGGGCTTCAGGGATAAGGTAGAGACGGTTTAGGGTTTAGGGTTTAGGGGTTTAGGGGTTTAGGGTTTAGGGTTTAGGGGTTTAGGGTTTAGGGTTTAGGGGTTAAGGGGTTTAGGGTTTAGGGTTGAATCAGAACATGTCTGAGGGCCCAGTATAGTATAACTGTGAGAAACACTTCGAAAGAACAATCTTGGGAGGTAGTTCTTGGGGCTTGGGGCTTCGGACTTCGTGGTTTGGGTGTTCGGTACTGCCTGTGCAGACTCTACACAAGGTCGTTCACTCTCGTGGTCTCTCAGCCCCCAAGTCCGGAGACGGCTTTCACACTTGCGTTATGTAAGAAACCTCGATCAGCGCCATTCCGGCATTGATGCTAACGACCCCCACATTGCAGTGCACCCGAGACCCTAAACCCCACAGGCCCCATGCTCAAACCACCACAGCCTAACCCTCATAAACTCTGATGGCTAAACCCTGCATACCGCAAACATGCCCATATCCCCTTCAACCCCTCAATTTCTTTTTGGGGACAGGTCCGGCGTGTCCAGGCATCCCGGCATGAGCAGGCAGGCGGCGAAAGTGTCACGCTCCTCGACCTGAGGAGATAAAACAGGGTGTTGCTTGAAAGGGTTTACGATTAACGGCTACTATAACCCGAAACCCTAAGCCCTCTGTAAAATTAGGGGTCACCGTCATTGCAATGTATAATGATTACTACGATTACAAGGAGCTTTCATCGGCTGTTGCACACTGCTGCATAACCTCTGAAATCGAAGGGCCTTATAAAGCTTCAGTATGGGCCATAAAATATCAGAAATGGGATTTTTGGGGTGTGTTAAGGTGTACTTATAGGGGGGCTACAAAAAAGATATTGCTACTAACTAGAATACCAGTAGGAGCTGCAGGGTATTACTTGGAGTCTTTTTCGGACCTTTATATTACGAGCGGCAGTGCAGGTTCAGGGCGCAGGGTCTGAGGAGTTAGAGACCGGATAGGGCTTTGATTTGATTGCTTCGGGGTTTCTGGTGGTCATAATCCTTAGAGGTCTAATGCTGGCAGTCATGTCTATTCTGAAA